GTTATAGGGTTCTGCCCTTTGGACTCAAGAGCAGTGAAGCCACGTATCAGCTCCTCGTGAATAAAATATTTGAGGCACAGATTACGAAGACCATGGAGGTCTATGTGGATGATATGCTGTTAAAAATATTGGTTATAACAGACTATGTAGCAAACTTATAGGAGACCTTTAACGTCCTAAGAGCTTACTAGATGAAATGAAATCCTGAGAAGTGTGCCTTCGGCATAAGCTCAGGTAAATTCCTAGTCTCCATGGCCACTAAAAGGGGCATCAAGGCTAATCTAGACAAGATCAAAGCTATCCTAGACATGAGCTCCCCATCTCTATGAAGTAGGTCCAGTGCCTTAACGAAAGGATAACAACCCTTAGTAGGTTTGTTTCAAAGTCAAAAAATAACAAATAAGTGTTTACCCTTCTTTAAAATTTTTCAAAAATATTTTCAATGGGGAATAGATGCAAAAGAGGCCTTCCAAAAGTTGAAGGCCTATCTTGGTGCACCTCCATTACTTTTCCATGTTGTACCTAGAGAGAACTTATACCTTTACTTGTCTACCTCGCACTCTACTATGAGTTCCGTCCTTGTTAGGTAGAAAAATGGGTTCAAATATCCATTTATTATGTGAGTAAGGCTTATGAAGGAGCAGAGGTAAGGTACTTTGAGTTGGAAAATCTTGCCCTCGCACTAGTCACTACAGCCAGGCACCTATGTCACTATGTTTAGAGCCATACCATCATGGTCTTCACAGATCAACCAATTAGAGGAATCTTGGGAAAACCAGATGTGTTTGGAAGACTCCTCAAATGGGCTATTGAATTGAGCGAGTTTGACGTACAGTATCAATTGAGGGCGGTCATAAAGGCACAAGCAATAGAGACTTTGTGGTCGAATTTACATCAACAAAGGAAGGAGGCTCCCAAATAGAAGTGCCTAGTGCCCCTATGCTCAACTGCTTTATTAACAGTGCTTAGGCTCCTTGCGCATTAAGGCCAGGCGCCACCCCTAGGGTGCCTGGAACCAGCACTACAGGCCCTTGTCGCCTAGGCTCCTTAGGCTGAGGCACCTAGGTCCTTGGTGCCTAGTCCTCTAGTGTCATCAACATCAGATGCCTTGACGCTTTCGTTGATTGTATCTCAGCCTACCACCCTCCTACCTGACTACATTCCTATATCTGAATGAGCGTCTCCAACTGTCGAAGCCTATACACCCACCAATGTAGTTGCATGCTAGAAACTATAAGTAGATGGGTTTTCTACTAGTTAAGGCAGTAGAGCAAGTTGGTACTTATCAGTCCCTATGGCACTCCACTCAAATAAGTTGTATCTCTTTATTTTTCGGCATTCAACAATTAGACATAATGCAAGGCCTTCATCTCAAGCCTGAAGCTCGCAATTGAAATGTAGACCCTCTATCTCACGGTCTATAGTGATTCCCAGCTAATAATCAACCAGGTAAAGAGAGACTTTGAGGTAAAGGAAGAAAGGATGCAAGAATATCTATCAGTGGTAGCAACGTTGTTGAAAAAGTTCAACCACATCCAGATTCAACATGTTCCCAAAGAGGATAACTCCATGGCAAATGTACTTTCCAAGTTAGCTTTCACAAATATTCTAATGGGCCTCACCCTCATGGGTCAGCAATTTGAGCCAAGTAGGCTCAAAACAGATGAGGACAATGTTAACTACACATCCTCTGATGTCGACTGAATGACACCCATCTGAGAACATCTAGAAGAAGGCACTCACCCAAAAAACCTGGGGAAAGCCAAGAAATTGAGACTAAGGGCATCGAGGTATGTCATCTTGCGGGACACCCTTTACAAGAGGAGTTACTCACGTCCGCTACTCTTTTGCCTCTCCCCGAAGGAATCAAATTATGCTATGAGAGAGATCGACGAGGAAATATGTGGAAACCACTATAGAGGGCACACTCTAGCTCACAAGGCAGTTAAGAGAGGCTACTACTATCCTAATGTGATTAGAAACGCTTGAGAATTTGTAAAAAAGTGTGATAGACGACAACACTTCGCGACGGTACCAAGGCAACCGCTGAAAGAATTAACCATCATCATGAGCCCTAGGAATTTCTTTAAATGGAGGATTTACATCCTAGGCCCCCTACCTATGAGTTATGGTCAATACAAATTTGTGGTAATAGCCATTGACTACTTCAAAAAGTGGGAGGAAGCTAAGTCCTTAGCCAAAATAACACATCAAAAAGTGAAAGACTTCATCTGGAAGAACGTAGTGTGCCGCTTTGGAGTGCCTCATGGCTATAGTAAGTGACAACGCTAAGCAATTTGACAAAAAACTCCTCAATGGCTCATATACAAACTAAAAGATCAAACAATACCATTCTAGTCTAACCCAGCCCCACACGAATGGGTAAGTAGAGGTCACTATCAGAACAATCTTGTGCAATCTAAAGACTAGATTGAAAAACACCAAAGGGCGGTGGGTGGGTGAGCTCCCTGGAGTACTGTAGGCCTACCGGACAATGCCAAGGAGCCCTATCGGCGAGACCCTTTTCTCCCTAGCCTATGGGACAGAGGTGGTCATACGAGTCTAGATTGGCATACACTCCCTGAGGGTCTAACACCACGACCCAACCACCAATGAAGAAGGCCTTCACATCAACCTCGACTTGGTAAAGGAGGAAAGGAAAATGGCTATAGTTATGAATATGGAATATAAGCACCGCATGACCAAATACTACAACTTGAGGTTAAAGTCTCATTCCTTCTTACTTGGGACCTAGTTCTCAAGAAAGTTATCCTATCTACCAAGGACTCATGATAAGGCAAGTTAGGCCCTAATTGGGAAGGATCCTATATTGTGACAAAAGTTGAAAGACCAGAAACCTATAGAATTCAGAACTTTGAAGGTTAAGTCTTGGCCCATCCATGGAATGCCGAACAATTGAAGGGGTGTTATAAATAACAAGAAACATTATCTCCATCACCACCTGTCCCTAGTGCCTCATATAGAACGATGCTGGAGAAGTCAATGTCCAGAAAAGTTGATGAGGTCTCTCCTCTTAACTCCTCATAACTGTCAATAAAAGAGCCTGTAGCGCTGTACTTTAGATCATGAATGACCTTTTCTATAGCCTCCCTTTTTTCTCTCTATTTTAATGAAATGAGTCTCTACCCTGATGGCTCTCTCACGAGCTACTCACAAATCTACCTTAGTCCCATCAGCCCTGTCCTAAGCTATTTGTAGCTTCACCCCAGCTCCTGCGACCCTCTCACAAGCCACTCATAGCTCTGTCTCTACTCTTACGTAGGTAGTCTCCCTATCAACCTCTTTCTTGGCGGCCCTTTTACAAGATGTCGAAAGCTCGACTTCAAGTGGTGCTGCTCTCTCATGACCCAACCTCAACTGCTTCTCAATAGCTTAGCGTGCCTATCTCTCTTTTGCCAAAGCCATTGAAACCTCACCAAGCTTGACTGTCCTCGAAAAAAGGCATGAAAAAATCGTAGCCATCTGTAAATATCCAAAAGTAAGAATGTTAGTATAACCAAAAAAGTGCAAAAATTAAGATTGAATAGAAAAGAAGGGTACCATAGCAAATTCCTCCATCGATGTATCAATGATACGCTCAAGACCCCGAAATCCAAACTCTCTAATGTCTGCAGGCGTCTCAAAAGTCCAAAGCCACCCCTTTACTAGGTTCACGTCCTACAACATAGATATCGAGCCACTATTAGAAGTAGGATAGCTATGCGGAGCCCTAGAATAAACAGAAGCCCGCATAGGATTCTGAGCTCCTAAAGTAGTCCTAGGGCTAAACCTAGTACTCGAAGGGGCCATGCGCTAAGAAGAAGTGGGGGCACTACCAGAACTTGCCTTCCAAGAAACAATATGGCCATTAGACCTAACACTTGGGGCATCAGACTTCAGTTAAGAAGCACTAGGGGCATTTAAATCTTGCCCTCTTCAAAGGAGGGGAAAATGCCACCCTAGTGGCGTAAAGAGCCTCCACCATCACCCTATCAACAATAGGAGCACCTGCAGACTCTAAATAAGAGAGAGAACTTACAAGGGAATTTGTTAAAACTACCCAAAGAAGTAAATACCTTTCCTCTTCTATTTGGGAGAGACTCTAGAGTGACTCGGCTTGGATATAAGGGCTGCAATGTGCTTGGTAGGATAATCCCTCATAGCCTGGAGCCTACTCTCCTGCTCCGCTGATAATGCGAGCGAAGCTATAAAGAAGCCAAACATGTAATGAATACAACAGAGATATGATAGTCGGGAATAAAAGCAAAGGTAAAAATCACACCTAACTTGGTCCTTGGAGGAGCATCCCATCTCGAGGGCACCTAGTCACGGTCCTTCTTGGTAACCCACTCTCCTCCTACAAAGAAAAACCTAGACTTCCAAATGTGACAGTTGGAGTTTAGTCTAGTGATCAGCTTCCCCGACCTTAGAGCAAAGCGGTACCATCCCTAATGGGGAACGAGGTTCTCTAAAATTACATGTGACGCTAGGAACTCCTCAAATGGGGGAGAGATATCTTCACCATGAACTAGTTGCCACAACGAAAAGAATGCGAAAAGCACCTTCCAGCCATTCAAAGTCAACCTCCCTAGGGCAATCTACAAGTGACCCAGAACTTGGAAAAGTGGTCTAGGTATGGGAAACCTCAATCCTACCTCCAGGACATCCTCATAAAAATTAATTTCCTTAGAGGAATCATAACACACCGACTCATCCTTCTTGGACCGGTAGCACATAATGGTGAGAGGGATACGAAATGAAGATATAATTCTAGAAATATCATTGTCACAATCTATGGAGCTAAAAATAGAGGTTACCTTCGAGTCATCACTATCAGCAACTCCCTTGTCTCTCTGATAAGCTTGTGCAAAATTCGTCATCGTACCTCTAGTATATTGGGCGCTTGTCAAAATCAAAGCCAATATTAGAAAACAATATCAAAGTAATGGAACAATTAATGGGCAAGAGCATAATCACCTTACCTGGTTGAAAGGGTTCACCCTCTCCCACCCGAGCAAAGCCCAAGGTCTAGGACTATACCCTTGCTACCTAGCACAACGACGTCTAGCTGCTCATCAGCATCGCTAACACCTTACTACCCACCAGCATCAATGCCTAACTGCCCACCATCATCGCTATTGTCTGACTACTTACTAGCGTCGCTAGCATCTAGTAGCCCTCTAGTGCCAGCGCCTAGTGGCTCGCCACTACTTGACTCCCTATTAGCGTCACCAGCGTCCAAGGTGCCATCACCCAATAGCCCGTATTCCCTAGTGTCGTCGCCTAGTAGCCTGCCTTCTCTGGCGCTGTAGCTCAATAACATAGTGGCATCACCTGGCCTAGCCCATGGCTTTGCCAGGGCTTCACCTAGTTTCTTCATAGGATAGCCATTACTTTAAGATAATGCTCATCCCCAATTGCAGCTATCCTCTCCAATAGATTAGTATCTTGACCTTCAGGTCACTGCTACAACTAGACCTCTGTGCCTATAAATTGTAAACCTCTTACATAGGGAACACACACTACACGTTTAGTGTACTCTTGCCCTCTCTCTCCTACTCCCTTGCACTATCTCATTAATATAATTCTCCAACCACCATTGCTACCTTCAGTAGTTAGGTCATCTAGACCTAACCACCCAATCTTTGTTTCTTATTATTAATTACTTTATACCACACCCTCGACTGATTTGATCATGCATGATTTACTTTGTACATCACTAGTAACATTCAATTTAATTACGAGGGCTAAAATGGATTACAAATGGATACTCATTAGGTTGAGATATCTTTCTATTAAGCAATAAAATTATCAAATACAAATACACACGCAAACTATACATAGAAAAAAAACACTAATACACCAAAAATACATGGGCGTGCAAACACACACACTAATACACTAAAATACACACACAGACACACACACTCTAATACACCAAAACACATACACACACAAACTCTAATACACCAAAACACGCACATACTAATACACCATAATACACATACACACACACTCTAATACACCAAAACACATACACACACAAACTCTAATACACCAAAACACACACATACTAATACACCATAATACACACACACATTTATTGCAATTGGCTAGTTTTTTTTAAGACTATGCAAATCTCAACCTATGCCATGGTCATGATGCTATAATGATGAAGATCTAAAAGTTTTAATTGGAAGGGAAGAGATCATGCTTCAAGCTACGTCAAAAGAATTCTCCATATGCACCTTCTTACTTAGGACAAAGGTAATGCCCTTAAAGACCTAAGAACCCTTGGTTTAATTTATTAGACTTAGGATGATGAGTGTTAAGCAGAATCAGTGTTGATCCATGTATGAATCCTAGGTGATTTTCAACAAAATATTTTTCTAAAATTCTTTATGTTTTAAAAACATAGTTTAAGCCATTATTGACCCTGAGATCCAAGACTCTAAATAGAGGGATGCCTTCCCAACCTAGGGTAAGCCTCTTGTAATCTTTTTGAGAGAGAAATTAGTCTATCTTAAATCTAGAGACCTTCCCCACAACACTAGATCCCTAAAATTCAAAGGCTACCATCTTATGATTTATATCCAATCTCACACATTAAAGAAGAAGAACTTGACTAATTAAACAAAACCCATTGTAAGTGTGCATATCGAGGATCTTGGTGGAGAAGATTTCTCGAGGCCTAAACAAATCGTGCGATAGGGAGTTCAAGTGAAGCTATTCGTAATGTTGAATAAAGACTTTAAGTGGAGAGCTTTATTGAAGGAAAGGATCGTCTAACTTTGGTATTGGTTGAAGTATAAGTCTTGAGTACTTGTAAATTGATTTTGGGATAGTGGATTAGACGTTGGTGAAGCCTAGAGAGGTTCCCCATGGTTTTTTTCTAAGGAGGGTTTTACTTGTTGGTTTGTTTTCCCAAATCTACAAACATGAGCCTGGATTGTGTGTATATGGCTTATATGACTTGGTGAGTGTCACTCTCTCTTGGGTTTGATGCAACAAATGGAAAAAATTATGTGTGAACAAAAATGTATGTGTATGCGCAAAAGTGCTCCCCAAGCATAGAGAGACTTGCAATATTGTGTTTTATTTGGAATGGGTATTCCAAGGTCGTCTCCTCAGGGAATGAAAGGTCAAATACTTTTGAAGGGTGATTTGTAAAGAAATGAAAATTGAAAAATCTTGTGAATTGTGTTTTGGTAAAAATGTAAGAAAGAAAGGTTGGCTGATCTATAGAGATCATTCCAATGGAAATTCCAGATCGACTCAATTCATTCAACCAATAGTGTCTCGTTGTTTGATTGATTCATAGAAAGTGAGGGACTAATGTGGATATGTTGGGCAAAAGCTTATCCTGTGATAAGTCTATGGTTTATTAAGAGCTCATAATCACTTCTACACTCAACATAGTCAAACCAAACACTTTACACTACGAGTGAGAATAAAAGAGAGTTGATTTCAAATACCCAAAGGGAAATTCCCCGTGGATTAGCCAACTAAAAGTTTAGCTACTTATAGTAAAGGCAAGAACAAACATAATGTAAAGAAACATGATATTGAATTAGACATGAAACTTGTATTGATGCAAGAGAAGGTTTACACTACAATAGCAAAGTCATTCATACCCCCAAATACAAAGCTGAAAGATAAAATACCCAATTGTAGAAATGGAAATGCTAGAACACTTAGCTAAGCTTGATTACAACTTGAATAAAAGAGTTTAGAGGGAAAGAGAGAAATATTACAAGAAGAATAAAGTTTACTACAATGAAAATGATGAAGAAAATCTACAAACCCAACTTTCTCTCTCTAAAACTTCATCTTCAACCTTGGAGCTTCTCTCTCTAAAAGCATGTAAAAATTGAATAATGGTGTAAGACTTCTTCATTTTTGTCCATACACTCTTACTTAGCATGTGTTAACTAAATTGGAATGATCGGGGAGAGGTTGGACACTTCCACAAGCAAGTTCAGTCCAAACATGGTCTTCCCATACTTTACCAACCACCCCTCTTCTCTCTCTTGCTTCTCCCCTCTCTTTTACTTTAAATCTTACTTTAGGAGTTAGGAGAGTATCATGGCATGTCAAACATGTCAAGGTATGGCTTAGAGGACAAGAGGTGGGCCCCTAAAGTAGGTGGAGTCGTGTGAGTAGGTGTTTGGTAAATCTAGGCAAAACCTAACAGTAGAATGTAAGAAAACCTACTGGTAGGTTTTTTCTAGTAAGATTTTCTATCGATATATTTTTTGCATGGCTGAGGTAGAAGAATTCCACTAATACATTCTACCAGTAGGTTTTGACTCTTCTACCGATAGATTTTGGTTGCCTTCTATCGGTAAGTTTTGTCATACTTTGGGATTTCCTTGGTTCCTTGAGGTCCCAAGCCATCTGTTAGGCAATCCCTTCTTCACTATTGTCGTTGAGCACTTGATGAGATGCTTTATGCATGACCTTACTTTCTCTTTACCCTACAATCACACAAATCTCCATTAATTATGAATTTGAAATCATTTCCCCCAATTTTCACCACAAAACAAGTAATATGGGTGCAAAAGAGATACATGATATGCAATATTCTATACTCATCAAGTTTTTAGATCAACAAATTTTTTGTGTTCTTTATCATTTTTACATATACATTTGCAATTTGAGCACACATTGTACTATTTGTTTGATAAATTGATTGATTGAATATTCACATCATACATAGTTGCTTGGTTGGATTTGTTGCCATTGGGTTGGGATTGTTGTGAGAGATCAAATGTTGAGTATTGAAATTGATATAATCAATACAACAATCTTCATGGGTATAAAAGGTCGTGGTGATTGGAAAGGGGTTCTCATGCTAAATTGCTAAATCATTGTGAGAAGACATAATTATGGTAGAATTAGGTTAAAATTGGTATTTGTTTAAGCAAAATTTTAATTAACCTATACACCTTCTCTAGGTGGTATCTAACAACCTACGTGTTTAATTGTGAGAGAAGATTCATATAATTTCACCCGCAATAATTGGTATAAGGGCATAGTTGCCAAGAGCATGCATTAGGCACTTGTAGGCATATTTTTTTTCCTTGCATACCTAGTTTTTGCTTCCAAGATATATATTGTTATTACTAGTTAATTTTGAATAGATTCTCAAAAGGAAGGAGGATCAATTATACAACCACCTTTTCTTGACAGTTATAACTGGGCATATTAGAAAGCTCGAATGACAGTTTTTTTTTTTGAAATTGATTGATTAGAGAGTATGGGTTTGTGTGCAAGGGGTTGGATCCTTCCCACCACCACCACTATAGTTGAATTTCTCGAAGCGATGGTTGAAGTAAAACCTTCAAAGTCGTGGACTAAATTCGAAATTGAATTGGAGAGGTGGAACTCTAAAGGCTTGAATGTGATATTCAATGCCATGACAAATAAGTTTCGAGAGGATTGCAAATTGCAAGACCTTTAAAGAAACTTGGGACATCTTGGAAGTTTCCCACGAAGGACCTCCATTGTGAAGATGTCAGGACTCCAATGGTACACCTCTCAGTTTGAGACTGAGGATGCAAGAAGATAAATTTTTTACTGATTTTTATGCTAAATTGTGTGATATTGTTAACTCTTCATTTGCATTAGATACCAAGATTGGTGATGCAAAAATTAAATGAAACATCTTGAAATCTATACTGGAGAGGTTTCATGCTAAAGTGATCTCATTAAAAATGAGTGCCAACATGGCATCGGTTTTGGTGGAAGACCTCGTAGGGTCAGTTTTGACTATTAAGATGAACCTCCTACAACCCAAAAAAGTGAAGGGTGTGACATTTTTCTCAATGAGAGAAGAAGGCGGTAAATCTGAGTCACCCTTATTGAGAGAAGAGGATATAGCGTATCTTGTGAGAAAATTCAAAAGCTATTTTAAAGGTTAATGATGTTGAGTCCTTGAGGTAGAAGGGAAAAGTTGAGGATACCTAAAACTCACAAGAAGGAAAAAGTGAAAGGGGAAAAGCTTATCAACAAGAGGTTGAGAAGAAGGGGCAAGGACTCTAATGCTACGAATGTCAAGGTTTTGGACATGTGGCTATGGAATGTCCTAGGGTAAAGAAGATGGACATGCCCGAGGAAAGGAGGAGAGCCATGAAGGCAAGGTAGAGTGAAAATGAAAGTGAGTCCACTTTGATTAAGTGAAGAGAATTTCACAACCTTTGTTGGTTCCCATTCCTCCCCTTGGAGAAACTTCGAGTGGTGAAGTTGAGTGGTCTTACCATGGAGGTAGATGACTTGGTTGTTGAAGTCTCCACTAGTGAAATGAGACTGAGAGTATTGAGGACCTCCAAGATGCATATAATCAATTATATGAAGAGTGCCTCAAATAAAAGAAAAAGGATGATTTCATTGAGCACAAGGCTCAAAACTAGTGAAGATGACAAGAAAACAATTCATATAGACTTGATTAAGTCCAAAGATTATATTTGTGGGCTTGAAGAAGAGAAGAAACCTCTTCAAGACAAAGTGAGCTTTCTAGAGAGTGAATTTAACGGGTTTGTTGAGACAAAGAAGAGTCTAGAACTTAAGTTGATAAAACTTAATAGAGACCTTCATGAATCACAAGAACTCTGTAAGAGACTTTTCCTAAGCACAAAAAAATTGAATAAAATGTTGTTCATAGGGAAGAGTGTGGGTGACAAAAGAGGCCTAGGCTATACAAATGAGAATATCACTTTTAGTCCATCCAAGACCATGTTTGTGAAGGGTTATCCTAACCCATCACCCCCACGTGTCCACAAAAGAGTAAAAATGGTAAGGGTGTGCATTCAAAGAAGTTGGTTAAAAAGGAAACCCAAGCCAAAGAATTTGTCTATTTTACTTATGGAGAGGCATTGTCACTATAGCATGCATGGCATGCATGATAGGGAAGTCTTGGATAAAAAGCTTATGCATCTAGCCAATCAATACAAAGCCTTGAACAATCAATTCATACATCTTAAAAAGCTTATGGAGACGTCAAGTGAGTCTAAGCATACTCATGTATCATCTTCAAAGCGCTCACAAGCTAGAGTGCGCAAGACTCCTTCTACTCCCAAGATCAAGGTTGATCTACATATTTTGGAGAAAAGAGAGTTATTCCTCCACCCATTCTCTGACCAAACCTGAGTTTTTGGAAGGGAATATAATTTTGGGTGACTAGGGAGGACTTGAAGAGGCTCACCACCTCAACTAAGTTGGATACCCCGAGTGCATCTAACAAAGTTGAGTCACCTAAGAAGTACATGAGGTGAGTTGTATGGACCTCGGTGTATCATTCATACATTGCAACAAACACCTTAGGGTCATGCGTTGTATATAATTTTATTTGCTTATTTTTGATTTATTTTCTTATAATAAAAACAAAAATCAATAGAAATTGAAAACCCAAAAATATTTTTGATCTCAAGTTTGACATTCTTTTTAGGATTTGTGATAATTGGTTTATTTTTCCTTTTGTTGTTGAATTTTTATGCATATTTTTCTGTTTATATGGTATTTGAAAAATACAAAAACATTGGAAAAAGAAAAAGCAAAAATATTTGTGTTTGTTTGTTTTTCTTTGTTAATAATAATAATCACACTTTTGGTTTTATTTGTAGTGTATCCATCCTTAAATCAAAATTGTGTGCATTGCTATGAGACCTATTAGAGAATAGAGAACTTGGTGGCTATAAATCATATTGCATGATCCTTAAACCAATTATATTTTGCCTAGTGTTCTTGGATAATGTGTTCTCTTTCAAAATTCATAAAACCAAATGCACGTCAACCATTCAATTTCATATTTAGGAGCCTTGCTAGTTTGAATGATTAATGCCCTTACATGACTTTAAATGTTGGTGATAGGTGAACACATGGCTAAAGGTTTCTAAAACCCCAATCCCTTAAAAGATGCCAAAGAGTCAAATGTGAGAAAAGAGCCCAATAAGGCCATTCTTGTTTTTTTTTTAAAAGGTGAGGCATAACATAAATGGCTAAAAATAATTTCACTGAAATTGTTGATAGTACTTATGCTTTAATGTTCATTGCTTATTTATAAAGATCAAAGAGCTCAAGCTAAACCCATTTAGAATCATATTTGTAAAGTACAGAATTCACAATCATGCTAATTAAAGCCATAAGATTAAAAGGAATAAAAGAAAGGGGCAATGCCCAAAAAGCGAAAATGATTAGGACACTCACTAACCAGCCATGTATTCACTTAGAGGATGTATTAAAATTTCATGTAGAGCTTTATTAATGATTTGACCTAGATGGAATCATCCTTGGAAACAAGTGTCAACATATAGTTGTTGTCAATGGAAGACCTAGTTGGGTCTATATTGACCTTTGAGTTTTGTATTTTATAATGAATTTGTGTGTTTGCAGGTGAATTGCTATAAAGACGTAGAAATTACACGTGTTTCAATGTCATAGAGGACTTGGAAGATAAGCTAAGAGGCCCAGGAGTGAAACCAAGGCCACAACAAGCATAATTGAGAAAAGACCTTTTATACCGGTAGGTCTTCTACCACTACAACTGAGGCCAGAAGTTGGTTCTACCAGTAGGAGTTCAATCCTACCGGTAGGTTCAAAATAGAGAGATGTTCTACTGGTAGGTGAGTAATGTTCTACCAGTAGGTTGAAGATAGAAAGGTGTTCAAGGTAACCAATAGAAGAAAAAAATGAACAGTTCTACATTTTTGTCTTCCTACCAGTAGGTTACTGTATTTGGGTAATTAAGACTCCTAAGGAAGGCAATCAACTGGCTTATTTCGACGACAATGATTGGTGGACCAAAAGGGCAAAAATCAGCAGGAAATCCCTTATAAATACCTAAGTCTAGCAAGAGAGAGGGGGAGCTTCAGTCCATCATTTAATTCACCATTCTTATCTTTTCTCTTTCCTAGGGTTCTAGATTTTCTTCTTTTTCTTCTTATTTTAAGATTTTTTTCCACTAATTTACTTTACAAGATTTGTTTAAATTCAAGTATTACATTCTTGCAATGCAATTACTTTTGGTTTCTTTCTGCAAATGATTTACATTTATTGCGATTTCAATATAAGGTATTTACTTTCTTGCAATTTCAATTCTGAACTTTTTGCTTTAATTTAAAATGATGCTTTCTTTAATTTCTTCCAATTTTAATTCAATCATGAGTGAGTAGTTGTTGACCAGTTTGATCAGATGAAGTAGTCTCATCCTGAATTGGGGATTTTGACCCAAAACTAGGGCTTGTCTACTGCCGAGTTATTTGAGTTCTTCTTGCTTATCCGTCGAAAACTGAGACTTGGTGCGGGTAATTCTTGGAATCACTAAAATTAAAGTGATTCATTCTAATCAATTTTAATTGTCTTGGATATGCATTTTTTTCATTTATAATTGGGTGTTAAATTAATATCTATCGCATGAGTGCGTTTGACCACAATCAATCTCAAGTGACTTATAGGGTTTGAGTCAAAAATGCATATTTACGACGAAGTGATCTTTATCGATCAACCAACTCTTTTCTATAATTGCTATTTCTTTAAGTGATCAATTTCTCCACTCAAACTCTCAAAATTCAAGGTTTTTATTTTCTTTGACCATCAGTTCTTGAAACATTCATTTTCCTTGACGAGAAGACCTCGGTAATCAAATGAGTTACAAAACTGATACCCTTTCCTATGCTTGGGAATTCCTTGATTATTTAACCCACTTCCAAGGTGAAGTACACTACGTTGAGCTCAATAAACCAGCAAGGAGATAAATTAGGACCTAGCCCTAATTTCAAAGAAGTTAAAAAAATACTTCAAGACTAGAAATGTGGAGTTCTCAAGATTATACGGAAATCCAAGTAGACCTACTCCTAAGGAGTGAAGGGATGAAAGGGGTAAGTAACTCTTGACAAGAGGTTGAGAGAGAGGGGCAAGACTTCAAATGCTTGAATGTCAATGATTTGGACATTAATGCCTGAATAGAAAAAATAGAGATTCACCCAAAGACAAGAGGAGAGCTATGAAGACCACATGGAGTGAGAGTGAAAGTGAATCAAACCCTAGTGTTGACTCCTCTTCTAATTATGATGAAGATAACTTTACAACCTTTGTAGATTCACAGTCCTCTCCCCCTATAAATACTTAAACAAGTTAAGTTGATGCAAGTCCTACCACAACGGTAGAAGACTTGGAATAAAAAATTCCCACATGTATGGAGGATGAAGATTTTTTTGAGGATATACAAGATGTATACAATCAATTTTATGTACAATTCCTCAAACAACAAGAGAAAGTACTATCCTTAAGTAGTTGGGTTAACTCAAGTGAGGAAGAGACAAGAGCACCCCAAGTGGACTTGGTGCAATCCACGGCCCAAATATGTGGTGCTTGATTGATTTCTCCTTCTCATTTTCAGAGCGTGTTGGAATGTGTGGGGGTGTCAAAAGTAGTGTACCCTCAAAATTATGATAGTGCAAAAGTTGCCCCCCAAGCATAGGGAGGCTTATTGTCGTGTGTTAACTCCAAAAAAGTTTTGAGGTCGTCTCCTCAGGGAAGGTCAAGACTAAGTGTTTCGAAAATGATTTTGAAAATAAAAGTAAAAATTGGTTCTTTGAAAGTGTTGGTGAATCATGAGATTCAAGGTTTGAAAATCTATAAATAAAAAAGGTTGGCTTATCCTTGTAATTCATCCCATTGGGTATGGTTAATCAATCCTCCTTATAACTCAATTGAACTCAAACATGTTTTTGTTCAATTGGAAGATAGGAGTTATAAATCAATGATTACCAAATGTGTGCATTGGTGTTAAATTGATTCGTAGGAAGATTAATTCGTATATGTTCGAAGGAACGATAAGCATGCCCCATGAACCTGTCACGGTGCATCAAATGTGTACAAATCTATACGTTGCAATCTACCAAGTCAAATTCAACACACTACACTTCAAGGCAATGTGTGTGAAGATTAATTTTTCCGCACCCAGATGGAAATCCTTCCGTGGATTTCACCAACAAATGGCTTTGCCGGCCACAGATGAAATGAAATTGATAAGCAAAATGGAAAAATTTCAAAGGAAACAAACACTAACTTAAAATAGCCTAAGAAAAGGGTAAACAAACTTAAAGCTTGATCAAATATCCAAAAACATAAAGGTTAAAGCACACAGGTTCAAATACTTGAAAATGGAGTTTCCCTGAACTCGAGGTCACGGTGAAACTCTAACAAAATGCATTCATCATTGAAAATCAAAGTTATACCAAGTTTAGAAATGAAAAGTACAAGCTCTAGAAACTTACTAAAATGAAAATGAGCAAGAAAATACAAAAACCCAACTTTATCTCTCTTAAACAACGGTTCTTCTTCCTTGGAGCTTCTCTCTCTAAAAGCTTGAATGTGATAATGTATTCCTTTGATAATTTTGTCCATAATGCTCTCTTTCCTCTAAAAGGTGGTGAGAGTCCTTGATTGGAGAGACATTGTCCAATATTTCTTCCCAATTGAGCAAAAGTATGGCCTCCTTGTCCTTTCCATTCACTCCCCCTTGCCTCTTGTTATCTCTTTTTTCCTCCACTCATTCATGCTTAAAAGTTGAATATAGCAGTTAGGGTGTCATGGTGGAGTGTTAATAATGCCATAAAATGGTTCAGACATCCCAAGGAGTACCCTTGTAGCTAATGAGAACATCGAGAGAAAAATTTGGGGAAGTTTGGGTTAGGTACTAGTATCGCACTTCCAACGGGCTTGGGTATTGGTACTTATGCTTCTAGGTACCGGTACCTCCTTCATTCTTCAATTTCAAATAGGTTCATGTATCGGTCCCAAGCACCAGTACTTAACTTCTAATGGGCTCAAGTATAGGCACTTAGCTTCACAGGTACCGGTACCTCTCTACTTTCTTTGATTTTTGCACTTCTACACTCATAAGCCCTCATTTCTTGTATTCCTTCCTTCACCCTTTTGTCCACAAACCATTGCACAATGATAAAACCCAGTATTTACACCCTAATCACTTGTAATCACACATTTCTCCATTAATCTCTAAATTAAATAAATTCAAATAAATCATCGCAAAACCAAGCTAAAATGAATATAATGAGGCCATTAAATATGCAATATTACGCACTTATCACACCCCCAACTTGAGTTTTACTAGTCCCTAGCAAATCTTA